AGTAGAGGAATTGCTGGATCCAATGGTATTTCTATTTTCAACCTTCTGAGGAAACACCATATTGCTTTCCAGAGACCATTTTGCAGTCCCACCAGCAGTGTAGGTTTCTCCACATTCCCGCCAGCATTTATTGTCCTCAACTTTTTTTATCTTTGCTGTTATTGCTGGTGTGAGATGATACCTCATTGTTGTTTTTATTTACATCTCTCTAATGGCTAGTGATGGTGAACATTTCTTCATATGTTTGTTGGCTGCCTGGACCTCCTCCTTGGTGAAGTGTCTGTTCATGTCCTGTGCCCATATCTTAATTGGGTTATTTGTCTTATTTTTGTAGCCCCTTGGTAATTTTTGAAACACCTGGTTAGACATCATCCAGGAAACCACAGTGCAGTGAGAGGAGTAATTGTAGTCTGATGACAGTTTATGTGAAGTTTTCCTAGCTGTTACTCTTACTTATTTTAATGTGAAGTTTTGCCTCTCCATACTGTGAGAGGGAAGGCATTGGTGAATTGTTTTAACGTATTTTATGATTGTATTCATGAAAGTTTTGCTGAGTTTTATTTTTAATGTAACAGTATATTTATTGAGAGTAGACATGATTCAAAGAACTCTGGTGGCACTGTAGGATAAGCACTGGCCTGCTAACCACAAGGCCAGCAATTCAAACCCACCAGCCCACTCTGCAGAAGAAAGATGAGGCTTTCTGTTCCTGTAAATATTTATAGCCTAGGAACCTCTCTATATGGTTACTGTTGAGTCAATATTGACTCAATGGCAGTGGGCTTGGTAAGATTCAAGTCCGCAATACCTAAACTGCCACTGTCTGGAAAGGTGATTTGAAGAGGGAAGACTGTGAAAGTAGGTTATATAGGTCCCTGTTGTGTTAATTTCTCTGGTTGTTGTTGTTAAGTGTCTTCCAGTTGGTTTGGACTCATAGCTACCCAGTATAAGATTCCCAAGGAGTGGCAAGTAAGTCTGAACCATCTACCTTGTGGTTCAAACTGACCTTGAGGTTCTGTGCTTATCCAACAGCGCCACACCATCAAGTCAGCTGTGACTTTTCATGGCCCTCACTTTGCACAACAGAACAAAACACTGCCAGATCCTGGGCCAACCTCATAATTGTTACGTTTGAGCCCATTGTTGCTGCCACTGTGTCAGTCCATCTCATTGATGGTCTTCCTCTTTTGTTGACCTTCCACTTCACCAAGCATAATGTCCTTGTCCAGGGACACTTGTCCCTCCTAACAGTATGTCCAAAATGAAAGAGAGGGAGTCTCACCATCTTGCTGAGTGTTTTTATTTGCCAGACACCACTAAATATGCTTTTACTAATATATACTGTTGTTGTTAAGTGTTGTTGAGTTTGTTCCAGTTCATAGCAACCTGTTTAAAGAACAGAAGCAGCTGGTAGATTTGAATCACCAACCTTGTGGTTAGCTTATCTTACAGTACCACAGATCATGCCCAGAAAATATTCATTTTTATTACTGTATGGCGACTTAGGATAAGCACTGGATTGTTAACCTAAAGGTCGTTGGTTCAGACCCATCAGCCACTCTTGGAAACCCTATCCAGGGTAGTTATGAGTCAGAACCAACTCTATGGCACTTAACACCAACAGTGAAATTTTAGCTACTATTATTACTGAATTAGATATTATTACTATCTGATGTGGCACTGTGGATAACGCACTGGAATCAGGTTGGAGGTTCAAACTCACCAGCTGCTCCTTGGGAACTCTATATAGGGTCACTATTGAATTGGAACTAACTTGACGGCACTTAACAACAATGTATACTGTTCGTTTATTGGGCATGGTAATAAAAATGAAATTTTCATGATTACATAATTAAGACTACATTTTGACAAAATAATGCACATTGTGCTCCAAAGAACACAGTTCACCTGGAGTCCCCACCAGATTCCAGGGTTCACTATTAATATTCTGAAATGGCTTTATGGAACTTCCTACCTGGCAGTGAAGATGCCATGTATTTATTTAATCATTCCCTTATTGTAGATAGGAGACTAGAGAAAGTTCCAGGAAAAAGTCTCTTAAAGCCATCATCATTCCATGAACTTTTAAAAAAGCAGTCTGTAATTCTTTCTGATATGCTTGCATTGAAAATGCCTTTATTCCCCCTTAACCCCTGAAACAACACAATCCTTATTTCTTTTCTTTTTTTTTTCCCCATGCAACAATTTATATACATTTTGTTTTGTAATTTTGTTTTGTAACATTTCCTTAGGACAGAGTGAAGTTCAGGAAACAGTTTGCTCTACTATAATTTCAAAGGGAACAGCAGAGGAGTAAGGGAGGACTCTTGTTATGTGTCCCAGAGTGGGTTTCATAGTGACCCTGTACAGGCTTTCCGTGGCTGTAAATCTTTACGGGAGCAGAAAGCTTCAGTTTTCTCCCGCGGAACAGCTGGTAGTTTCGAACTGCTGACCTTGCGGTTCGCAGCCTGATTTGTAACCACTACACTACCAGAGCTCCTTAAGGGTAGGCTAGAGACTGTATAAGCCGCAGTCTGGAGATTTTAGCAGCTGGAGTGTTCCAGTATGACGAGAGGGCGGTGCCATGGGCGGGGCTGGGGCGGAGCCGCGCGGGCGAGTGGCCCTCCACGTGCGCAGGCGGGGCTGCAGGCCTGCTTGTTCTCAGCGTGTGTTTACGCTGTGAGTGAGAATCCGCCCCGCCCTGAGTGGGCGCTTCTCTGCTTGCTTTGAGTGTATAGAGAAAAAAACTCCCCTGAACCCGCGATGCCCATGGCCGCAGCTACCTGCAGCACCAAGGCTGTGAACCTCTTCAAGCGGACCTTTGCTCTGAGCCCTGCTGTGGCTCCCCGGGGCGCAGGCCCGGGGTCCCCCCCGCGGGGTAACCACTTAGCCTGGCCTTGCAAGGACTGGCCGCGGGGAGAGGGCATCTGTGTCCGGCTCTGGACCCCGATCACGGCCAGACACTTGCCCTTGTCCCATTCCTGCACCTCGACTTCTCCCACCTCTGTGTGTCTTCTCTGCCCACAGGACTCGCTGAGCAGCAGCTTGAAAACTTGCTATAAGTATCTGAACCAGACCAGTCGCAGTTTTGCAGTTGTTATCCAGGGGCTGGATGAGGAAATGCGGTGAGTGACAGACAGGGCAGCTCCATAGGACTCGAGGGGAAGGAAAGCTATTTCAGGGCTTGTGGAGGCATTTTAAGCTACTTTCTGACATAGTACGGAGTGTCAAAGCCCGTTGCTAACGGATTGGCTAAAATTTAGCCCCGCCTGAGTGAAAGGAATGTTTAGGGATGAAACACCCATACATTCATTTTAGAATGTCCTTACAGGGACTTTGCCATCTAATAGTGCCCCTGCAGGCACACTCTGTCAGGAAAGCGACCTGCCTCTGAGCATATCCTGCATTTTTCTTGGTTTCCCTTTAGCTCCTTTGCATTTCTAGAATATTGGGTCAATTTTCTTGCAGGTTTTGCTGCAGATTGCTCACAAGAATTTCCGCATTACCTTTATGCATGGTAGTAGTTATTTATTGTGTCGTGACTTTTATCTTCTTTCTGAAAATATTAGTTTAGTTTAAACAACAGTGATTCTCCATTTTAGTAGTATCAGTGACATTCAGATACTAGGTTTTTGTTCTCTATTAATACAATAAACTTGAGTCCTGGTATGGTGCTATGGGTTAATGCCCCAGACTGCAAAGCCATTTAAACTGCAAGGTTGGTGGTTCAAGCTCACCAGCTGCTCCTCGGAAACCCTATACAGGTCGCTATGGGTCAGAATTGACTTGACAGCACTTAACAACAATGCAATAAACTATGTTCCTTACTAACATCTAAGTAAGGAAAGCAACAGTTTTGATAAGTTCAGTGAAAACATTAGATGGACAGACTAATATTGGAACTTACTAGGAAGTTGCCCTTTGCAGTGATCTTGATCTGAATATGACATACATCGTGCATACCAAGTTTATCATTATTCTGCTACTCTAACTGGAAACATGGGAAATGAAATGACAGTTGATGGTTTCCTCATTTAAACACTGCTCACTTTTTTCTGAGAGGGATATAAATGCTGAGCAGAACTTAACTGCTTATAGAACGTGGGTCTTTGTTTTGATAAAGTAGTTCCTCTGAAACCTAATGAAGATTGTACTTAATAGTGTAACATACATCATAACTAATGAACTCTAGAGTAGTTAATAGGCAACTCTGCATACTTCAGATTAGCTGAGAAACCAAGGCCATTTTTAATTGTATTGAATATAACAATATTTGATTAAAAAATTCTTCAGAATTTTGCATTCCCTCAAGGCTTTAATTTCATGGTTCTGTAGAGCCAGGGGTATAGGAGGTTTTGGGAAATGGCCTGGAACTAATTAACTGTTATTTGAAAAATAAATATCTTTGAATGCTTGTTCTAATATACTAAGAGTTCTTTTTCTGTTTTTACAGCCATGCTATCTGCATATTTTATTTGATTCTCAGAGCTCTGGACACTGTTGAAGATGACATGACCATCAGTTTAGAAAGAAAGGTTCCAATGTTACATAACTTTCACTCTTACCTTTATGATCCAGACTGGTGCTTCATGGAGAGCAAGGAGAAGGATCGACAAGTGCTAATGGATTTTCCAACGGTAGGGAATTTGAAATCTCTGTAGGTAGTACGTTTATAATGGATTATGTAGTTGTCTGCTAGCACATAGACCTGCAGAGAAAGGTAAAGTAAACAGTCTGAGGCAGCACAGCATGATGGTTCAGAGCCCTGGTAGTGAGCTGGGACCCCAGTTTAGGCTCCTTAGGCTGGGACCCCAGCTCTCCCACTTATAATTGATGATTAATTATATATCTTTTCTGTGCTTCATTGTTCTCATCTATAAAATAGTGCCATAATAGTAACTAATTTATTGTATCGTTGTTAGCATTAACAGAATGCATTTGAGTCAAGGTCTTAGGACTGTGTTAGATACCATTATCATTACCAGTATATTGTATGGAAGTTTGATGTGTGTTCCTGTGAAAAGATGTATTCAAATTTCCTGTATTGTGGTTCCCAGCTAGCTGATTATATAATGCACCCTAACTATATAAACGGAGTCCTGATGTGATGCTGTAGGATAAACCCTGGATTGCTAACTACAAGGTGGGCAGTTCAAACCCAATAGCCGCTCCTCTGAAACCCTATACAGAGTTGCTATGAGATGGAAACTCCTGGAAGACACTTAATAACAGAAACTATATAAATACCACTAGCTTCTTAAGTACCCAGAGTCTGGTAACTTGGAATTGCTATACAAGATGGGGTGCAGTAGGGAGCAGTTCTTTTAGCAGCTGGAGTGAGCAGCAGTAGAATCCTGTCACTTAACAGCTGTGTTTGCTGCGTAAGTAATCGAATGCCTTTGTGCCTTAGTGTTCTCACCTGTGAAATTAGAGTTCTGTGGATTAAATAAATCCATACAGTATTTAAGCAACACCTGGTTTATGAGGGTTGTAGTTGAAGCTTGGGCCTGCAGGTCACCATACAGATGGATATGAGATCCTCTGCTAGTGCTGGGCAGAACCTAGGCTAGCAGAAGAAGGATTGCAGCCTGGAAGCTGGGGAATCAGCATTCACTGCTCTGCTGCATTTTGGAGTAAAACTCCAAGTGACCAAGAATTTAAAATTCAGACCTGAATCATTCAGATTGCTATGAAGGTAAACGTTTGTCAGGTCAAGAGGATAAAATATATTTTACATCTTACTATCTTGATAATCTACTTATTTATTTTCAAGTTTTTATTGTGACTTGAGTGAAAGTTTATAGGG